CCAATAACATCGGTGAGCGAGTGCGTGATAAATCACAAAAAAGACCATATAACTTTCGTGATGAACGCCCTAGTTTTCAAGGAAACTGCCGAAGATGTCATCGCTATGGACATAAAGAGGTACATTGCAGATATGGCGAAAAAAACCAATCTGGTTCGAAACAAATTTTTCCTGGTCCCTCCGGTTTAAATCCAAAAGTTCCGCCCGGTCCCTCTGCAGTTCAACCAAAATTCTCTCCATCTGATAATACCAAATTAACTCAGTGGAAGTGAAGTTCTGTAAAATCTGGTTCGAAACAAATTTTTCCTGGTCCCTCCGGTTTAAATCCAAAAGTTCCGCCCGGTCCCTCTGCAGTTCAACCAAAATTCTCTCCATCTGATAATACCAACTCAGTGGAAGTGAAGTTCTGTAAAATCTGCCGAAAGAAGGGCCACACGCTGTTATCGAAAACAATGACGTGAGGCATCGAAACGAGTACTCCTGTCACAAATTACTCGTTTTATTCGTTCTTGTTCATGTCACATGGCTGCGATTTCCAACGATTCAACGATTACCTCAATTTCGTATTTAGTGGATACAGGGGCCGATGTTTCAATATTACATGAAAAAGTAGCAAAATCGTTAAATTTGCAAATTCAGCCGGACTGTCAAACTTTATTTGGAATGGGAAATCGCATCACGAAGCCTATCGGTCGCAGCAGTGCTTTGATGTTTACACCAACTATGACCCTAGAACTTGACTTTTTAATTGTACCAGATGGATCCATCCCTGGAGGTGGCATTGACGCTTTAATTGGCCTCGATGTTTTGAAACGACCAGGTATAAAAATTGAATTTACCGATAACAGTGTAGATATTGTACATGATCCACTAGTTCTGCCCCGAATTTGTACAATCTATACATTCCAGGAAAATGAAAATGACTTAAATCTGTCAGGATTGGACGAGCGAGTGAGTGAAGAAATAAAAATAATTCTCCAACATGCCCGAAACCAAACACCGGCCGCTGTAACAACAACAAAATTAAAGATAACATTGCGTGATTCACAGCCGGTCGCCTATAAGCCCCGACATTTATCTTACGGTGAAAGATTGCAAGTGAAGCAGATGATCAAGGAACAACTTCAAGATGGAATAATTCGAAGAAGTGAATCGTCGTACGCTAGTCCAATAGTACTCGTCAAGAAAAGAAATGGGGACACGCGATTATGTGTGGATTATCGTGACGTCAATAAAAGAGTGTTCCGCAATAATTACCCTCTACCCCGAATACAAGATCAGATTGATGCCCTTGCAAAAGCTGTTTATTTTTGTACTCTTGACATGAAGTCAGGATTCCATCAAGTCGAAATCGAAGAGGAATCAAAACATATAACAGCTTTTGTGACGCCTGACGGACTCTACGAGTATAACCGAATGCCGTTTGGTTTCATAAATTCTCCGTCTTGTTACCAAAGTGCCATTGATAAAGCTCTTGGACCGCTGAAAGATGATATTGCATTTGTTTATGTTGACGATGTTTTATGTCCCGCACGAACCATTGAGGAAGGACTGAATAACTTGTGGAAAGTTATTGACGCTCTCTCAAAAGCCGGTTTTGTGCTAAATATTAAAAAATGCTGCTTTTTCAAAAAATCTGTGGAATATCTTGGTGTAGTGATAGAAAACGGTACTGTTAAACCTAGCCCGCGAAAAGTTGTCGCGCTTTCTCAGACTTTGGCTCCTACAAATGTAAAGGGTGTTCGGCAACTCTTAGGACTGGCTGGATATTTTAGGCGTTTTGTGAAAAACTTTGCAAGTTTAACTGCACCGATATCTGCGCTGTTGCGTAAAGGAAAAACTTTTGAGTGGACAAATGACTGCGAAAATGTTCGTTTAGATTCAGTGAAAAGATTGACTGAATACCCGATCCTGAACATTTTTGATCCGGATTTTTCTACGGAACTCCATACAGACGCGAGTTCGTTAGGTTTAGGTGCCATCCTTATGCAAAAAGACTTGAACAATGTTTCACATCCAATGGCTTATTACAGTAGGCGTACCACTGATTGTGAATCGCGATACCATTCATATGATTTAGAGACTTTAGCAATCGTAGAAGCTACTCAGTATTTTCGCACATACCTCTATGGTATTAAATTCAAAATTTTCACAGACTGTAATTCTGTGCGGGCTACAGCACTCAAAAAGGAGTTACACCTTCGAGTCGCAAGATGGTGGATCAAATTAGAGGACTTTGATTTTGAAATCGAATACAGGCCGGGTCATAAAATGACACACGTGGACTATTTGAGTCGGAACGCTGTTTCGCCGTCAAAACAAATATTAGTAGCACGGTCTCTTGCTGATAAACCAAAAACAATCAGTGAATATCAATTAGAGGATGCTTTCTGTCAAACAATCATGAACAAAACACATCATGAGACGGGATATACAGTGAAAAACAATTTAGTGTTTTTACAAAATTCTGATGATGGATGCGATCGTTGTTTTGTTCCTATAGCGGCTCGACTTGAGATTATGAAACTTTATCACGATAAGTCATCTCACATTGGAGCTAACAAAATGTTAATGAAATTACAAGAGGACTTAGTATGGCCACGCATGGGTAAAACTAAGGTAAAACTGTGCGTAAATATGTGGCAAACTGTAGATCGTGCGTGATGGGTAAATCATTCACTGGAAAAAGAAGTGGTTTGTGTCAGCAGAAAGCTAAACCTTCAAGTAAACTTGATACTTGGCACATTGACCACGCCGGGCCTCTGGTTAAATCTAACAAGTGCACTCAAATTTTAGTTATTATAGACGCTTTCACTAAATTTGTGCGTTTTTGTCCCATCAAACAGAAAACTACAGAATGTACTATCAGGGCATCACATACAGTGTTTTCTGAATTGGGTTACCCAAAACGAATAATTGCTGATCGTGGAACAGCATTTTTATCAGGCAAATTTCGAGAATACCTTGACGAAAACTCTGTTGAATTACATCTTATTGCAACAGGAGTTCCACGAGGTAATGGGCAAGTGGAACGTGTTATGCGAAGTTTGTTCAACGCATTACGTGCTGTTCTTAATGAAAAAGGCGATAAAACATGGACTGAAGTGCTACCTGATATTGAGGACGATTTTAATGTAACCGTTAATAAATCAACTAGTTTTGCACCGTGGATGTTAATGTTTGGCGAAAATCGTCGTCTACAAGCAACTGATGAACTATTAAGTAGTGTGTCAGTGCAGAACAATGTCGTGGATGCAGAAGAAATGAGGCAGCAAGCACACAGTCGTATGTGTGAAATAACGACTAAAACCATCACCAACTTCAATAAGAAGAGAGTTGCAGCAATACCGTACGCTATTGGTGATAAAGTTGTTATTGAAAACACTCAACTGGCAAATGGAGGGAAACTAAAAAAGCAAAGTTTCACGGCCCTTTTGAAGTAACACATTGTCTACCTAATGAGAGGTATGCACTCAAAAAGATTGGCAGCCGAAGCAGGACTACAGTGGCAGCGCATGAGCAGTTACGAACCTGGCCGGATAAACAAATAACATAAGGTAGGCAACCAATTTATGAAATGAACAGTATCAAGGTCCCTGCTCAGTCAGGCTATGTTTAAAGATCCCTGCTTACTCAGGCTATGTTTAAAGATCCCTGCTTAGTCAGGCTATATTTAAAGATCCCTGCTTAGTCAGGCTATGTTTAAAGATCCCTGCTTAGTCAGGCTATGTTTAAAGATCCCTGCTGAGACAGGCTATGCTTAAAGGTCCCTGCTTAGTCAGGCTATGTTTGAAGATCCCTGCTGAGACAGGCTATGCTTAAAGGTCCCTGTTGAGACAGGGTATGTTTGAAGATCCCTGTTGAGACAGGCTATGCTTAAAGGTCCCTGCTTGGCAGGCAAAAAGGTATCTACGACACTCGTTTGGGCAGATGGACAGAGTAAAATTCCTTGCTATGACAGGTAATGAATCAAGATCCCCAAACCTCTGCATGCATGTGAGCTGTATGAATTAAAAAAAAAATCAATTAGTTTGGCCTGGTTACTTGGAAGTTGATTAGGTAGAAATACTGAATGGTTCTTAGATGTGATTTTGCAAACCAGTAAATCAGCAAAATCACATAATGAAGAAATGGCTGTGCTCCCAAGAACAAATCTGGAGATTTTAATTTTCTCTATTTGTTCTCCGCCTATGCTTTGAACAATTAGTGCGTTCGAATGTTTACAGATTCTCGCCTGTGCCTGTATGTGAATCTTGCTGAGCTACTGAAGGTGCGAGGGCGCCCCGACGTCACGAAGGCCGTGTTAGCATTTAGCTTACGTTATTCCGAATCCCCATCTCTTCGGGACTCCTACGATGTGTATGCTTGTTTAATAATCAAAGATCGGCTGAGAAATTGTCGATGATGGATTTATTTGGATATAAGCAAGTCAGTCGAGATTGCGTTGACAACCGTTCTGTATCGTGGAGTCGAATAAAACGTATTTTTTGGAGAAATTGGTGGTTTATTTTACTAGAAAAGACTAATTATTTGCCAATCTTCTATCAGGTATATACAGGGACTCTAATATATCCTACTCTAACTCAATGGCGGCTGAATATCTGGACTGTCTGACGGGTATCACTCGTCAGACAGTCCATATATTTAGCCGTCATTGCTCTAACTCATGATTCCGAACAGCTAGAGACATGAGTCGATGTCATATTAACAACAGTTTGGGGGCTCCTACGCGTTGAGCAGAACCATATTTTCAGGCGAACAATTTGGATGAGATTTTCGGGTTGCTGATGAATGATATTATGATCACTAGCGGTCTAGACCATATTTTTGTCAGTATTGTCTGTGGAATTCAACTGTCGCTGCATCGCAATGTTCTAAGTGAGATGTATATAAGTTGACGTTCTAAGGGTCAAAAACGAACTATCAGATAATGCGCATGCGCAAATTAAATTGTTGTGCTTTTTCTTCTTTCTTCAATATTTTTTCATTAGATATTGCGCTTTTGTAGTGGTAGCATTGCGTTGCGCTTTTTGTTTCTTTAACACCGGCAATTGCGGCAACCACGCCGGCAACACTGGTTTTGTTACATTTGGCATTTGGCTTTTGTTATGGTTGAAAACATGGCGGAATTTGATAAGACGGAAGAGGCTCCAATCGACGAAATGCGAAAAAAATCGGAAAGTGAATCAAAATCGCATTCTCACCAAGATGAGGATAGTGAAAGTTTGGAGGAACAGCCTCTGGATATTGGTGAACATTATTTGGTTCAGAGATCTGATGATTCTTGGCGTAAGATATTTTGTTTACTGATCATAACCTCAACTTGCAGCTTATTATGTTTTTGTGTTTATGATTTTCTATACATTTTCATTTCCAGATCCTGCTGAAATCATACAGTCCAGATACAATGATTTGGACAGACAATATGAGTATTATGTGCACTATGAAGGATATAACCGTAGATTAGATGAATGGGTAAGTTTATTATCAAGTTCAAATAATTGTCTAATTTTAAGGAATTTATTGTGATTTCTCTATTTCAATAATATTTTGAACTCCAATGCTAGGTACCCAGAGGAAGAATTATGTCCTCAAGATTCAATATGACTGAAAATGGCCAGAAAACTTCTGTTGACATGAAGGCATGGAAAGATCGTCCAGTAATCACTGATTTATTAGCAGATAGTTCTGATAGAAAAATAACTCGAAACCAAAAAAGAAGGCATGATGAAATTAATCACATTCAAAAAACGTGAGTATTTTCCTATAGAAGATTTTACAATTTTCACATTGTTAAGTCAAATACAGTGGAATCCAGATTATAGGTGTGCTGATCATCTATGCCATGATTTTCCATTGTTCAAATTGTCCTTTTAAAATTTCATGAAAAGAGTGAGAGTTACGTTAAATCTTTATGCAATTTGAAAGTTAGTTTATACCTATTTTTATTCTGTAATCTTTTTGGTACATACATGGTGAAATGAATTTTGATGGGAGTGTTTTAAACAACTAGGTAGGAAATACATATAAATAGCCATAATGAAGAGTTGACAGCAGAAATGTGTTGCCAGCTTTTGGCCCCCATCAGTTTTGTGAAAAATGTGCAAAGAATAGGCAACACTTGGTGGGAGACAAAACAAACAAATGTGCGGCTGGCTTCTGTTTGTTGACTCCCTTGATTTGTTGTTTTCTCTTCCATCAAGTGTTGCCTATCCTTTGCACTTCTTTCACCATACTGATGAGGGCCTAAAGCTTCAATCACATGTCTGCTGTCAAAAGCCCCAAACACGTGTCAACTCTTTGAGAGCTATGTCCAATATTCTCTTCCTAATTGGCTATACAGAGTGACCAATTTGAAAGAAGGCCACCCACATAATTTTCTCAATAATGGATTGATTTTGAGGAAGTTTCTTATAAAATGTGGAGGGGAAAAAGGTGTAGGTATGTTGGAGTTTAGCAGTGTCCATTTTTTTTCTTAAACCAAGGCCTACTCAATCACACTTAGAGGCCGAAAAGTTTAGATTCCATATTAGGGACTTTTTCAGTAAAAAATCCTTGTACCACGTTTTATAACAAAATATTTAACATTAACAATTTTATGACTAAATTATTCACAAGTTGTTCCTTTTGCATCAATATGCTTTTTTGTAATAACCCATGGGATAAGAAATGAATTATACTGAATTTATTTATTAACAACATTTAATAGACATTCTTATTAAGGCATATTATTTCTGAATTAAAATAAAATTAACAAACAATAATTCATTTTTCTAGATCCGTTGGGATTTTCTCTCCTCCTTTCTCTAAAATTAAAATATGTATATACCTTTAGTAAGACAAATCAGATGATTTGCTTCAAATGGACATTTCGGGAACGAATCTGCGCCCGTTTTCAACATAAATCATATTGATTCAGTAGAATCTGTACAAAGATGATTTTTGAAGTACCTCTCGTTTAAATATGATGGCATGTATCCTAGTATCCTAGGCATAGGGTTAACAGTCTGGGTGTCAGCCGAGAATGCTCTGCTGCTATGTTCACCTATAAATTGATGAATAATATGATTAATGACTGTTTCTCCTAGAAAATTTTGATATATTCATTCCTCCGTTGATGTCCCACAGAACAGATTTCTTCTATCTGCCAACACCTCCTCCCCCAGAACTAATGTGTTACTGAATTCACCAATATACAGTCTGTCCAAGATAAGGTTGAACAGCATGGGGATCTCGAAAACGGTAGGAGATACGAAGTCGGTTAAATGGGGAAAAAGTTGCGCATTCGGAGGCTCATGTCAAGAGCCTTCGAAAATTTGTAAAATTATTTTTAGTTTTTTATCAAAAAAAGTGAATTTTTGGAATATCTATTTCATTTTTTTTCTCCGTTATCATTCGAGATACAGAAAAACTGAGAATACTTTTTTGTACCAACTTTTGATGACGTTTAACGTGGTTATAACAATTTTTTTATGCGACGTAGAACCATCATCAACTTTTGTTCTTTAAATACGGTTCTGATAATTTTTTCACAGATTCTGAAAGGTTTTTTTGTTCTGAATTCAACCATGTATTATACAAGGTGATTTGAATGTGTTTCGACCTATTTCTATCCATCATCAATGTTTTTTCTAACTTCCAAAGGAAAAGTGCCATCATTTCCATTAATTTCTGATCATTTAGTGTCAAACATTGATGGATTAGTTATTGAATACTGAAAAGTGAATAAAAAATATTTCACTATATCATTCAATGCAGCGCTTGAAATAGTTGATGAATTCTTACACGCATTACTTTAAAAACTTAACGTTGACAATACCTACAGAAACATTCATAACAAATGTTCAAAATGATAACCATTATTTTCTGAACAAAGATATCCTCTTCTCACAGTTGCTTCTGAGACATTACTAAGCATTTCTGGGGTTATTCTATTGAATGCTTCGATGACACTGTCCCTCAGTTCTTCTTCATCATCAAAGCTATCTGCATGTACAATGTTTTTGATATATCCCCTAAAAAAATCCAAGGGAAGGCAGAATGAGTACCAATCCATTTTTCTGGATAAAAACGCACGAACTTCTCTGGAATTATGTACCGGAGCGCCATCTTGTTGAAACCAACAGTTCTGAACTTCCGCAATCGGTAAATCATCCAGAGCTTCCTCAAGATGATTCTCAAGCAAATTTCTATAACGTTAGGAAGTCTCTATTTCATGGTGAATAAAAGGACCAATAATTCGTGTACCAAATATTGCAACCCACATACGCTGTAATGTATACATGTTCATTTTCTCGTGAACAATAATGTGTATTTTTTCTATCGAAGATAACATTGTTACTGACCATGCTTTCATCAGTCCAGATGATTGTTCGCGGGAAATTTGCGAAATTTTGACATTTCCTGGTATACCACTCACAGAATGTCCTGCGCCTTTTGTCATCACTTGGTTTTAGCGCTTTGACATATTTTGAATTTGTATGGATGGCATTTTTGTTTCCGCAAAATGAAATAGGTTGTTGATTGGAACCAGTTGATGAGGTATTAGTGTGTTGACTAATTTTCCTTCAAAATAAGTGGAACTGATGGCATTTTTCCTTTGGAATTTCGAAAAAACATTGATGATGGTTAAAAATAGGTCGAAAAACACATAAACCACCTTGTATAATACATGGTTGAATTCAGAATAAAAAAACCTTCCAGAATCTGTGAACAAATTATCAGGTCCGTATTTGAGAAACAAAAGTTGATGATGGTTCTACGGATACGAAACGTCGCATAGAAAAATTGGTATCACCACGTTAAACGTCATCAAAAGTTGCTATGAAAAAGTATTTTAAGTTTTTCTGTATCTCCGATAATAAGGGCGAAAAAAAATAAAATAGATAATCCAAAAATTCACTTTTTTCGATATAACTAAAAAACTAAAAATAATTTTGAAAATTTTCGAAGGCTCTTGACATGAGCCTCCGAATGCGCAACTTTTTCCCCATTTAACCGACTTCGTATCTCCTACCGTTTTCGAGATCCCCATGCTGTTCAACCTTATCTTGGACAGACTGTATATAATGTCTAATACATGCAACAAATTTAGTGACCAGCTTGATTTATTCAATATGAATTTGAAAACTATACATAACATCTGCTTGAACTAAATTGTGTCATGATTCAATAACATCATTGTCAATTTCAGTAGTTTATACTCCCCCTCTGTGAATGTTTTCTGTTGAATAAATAAATTAAAAAGGGTATTTTTTTTGAAAATTGTCTGATTATGTGACACTGCCTCAAAAGTTAAGTGAAAATTCTATATTTTTTCAATATTTCTTCTCTCCAAACATTTTTCAAAACAAAGTGTCACTGACAAATTATCGACTTCTTTTAGGCTCTCTGATGGAAGAATTTTCATGAGCAGTGACATTTTGGGCCAAATAATATGTTTTTTCCTACTACATGTATATTGAAATAATACTCATATTTTTATTTTAGAGAAAGGAGGAGAAAATCCCAAATAATCTAGAAAAAGAATATATCACCTCTGCGATTAACCTACAGACACATATGAATTGAATTTAACATTATTTTGGCTCAATTTATCAGCCCTATCATTTATGACATGACCTTTCTGGCCACCCTATTAATCTGGAATTTCTTTAGTGTTTGCATTTTTTTTAATTTCCTGTTGCTTGTTTGATTTTCCTTTGATTTCTTTGCTAATTGACCACATGCACTTACTTTTATTGTCTGACCTTCTCACTCTTGATTCATATTCACAAGCTTGATTTTTTTTCAATAAGATGTCATATTCTTGTTTTGTTTGTCTGTAAATATCTCTGTACCTCATGTCTCTTTGTGATAATGTTAGGAAGATATCCAACCTGTTCTTATAATCCACAATTTCGATATTTTGCAGTGGAATTTTCTTTCTTTTTTTGTTACTTACCAAGTCTTAAAGGAAAGTGCTGAACAAAAATATTCCAAATATATTCATGAAAACATTCCATTTTTTATTGACATCTTGCTGATGACCAATCCTGTTGTTTCAGTGTTTACAAAAATATATTTTCCTTTGTGTAAAATCTGGTCTATAAGTATAGATAGTTTCAACCCAAAAGAGTATATTAATGTCAGAAAATCTGTGGAATATTGATCGTTCTTTAGAATGTCAATATTGAAATCTTCTGCTATAAAATAATATAATCTTTTTACTTTCAAGAGCCTTTGATAACAGTTTCTTCATTTTATTTAAAAATATCCCAATGTCCCCTGAAGGTGGTCTTTATAATGAAACAACTATAGCAGATACATTTCTAATTTGACATTCCACAACTGCACATTCAAACTGATTACATATAGGCGAATCTTGCTAAGGAGTACGCCCTCTACCGTTGTCTGATATAACTAACGTATGGGCCATTGATTGCTTTGTTTACATTAGTTTGCGTGTGTTTTGTATGAGAAGTAGTTGTGTTTTAATTGTCTATATTTTTGTTTGAGAACTTCTATAAACGTTTAAAAACATGAATCATTATTGTTGTGTACCTCATTGTTCATCTTGAGCAAAAAAAAATCCGAGTATAGCTTTCATAACTTTCGAAAATCAGGACAGTCCAAATTTGTATTTGAAACTAATAATTTGGGAAAAAAGGAAGTGATCGATAGGAGAAAGGTGAGGATTCATAACTTGAAGATTGGAAAATATGCCTGAACATAATGAGAGATTGTTTTTTACACTTCACTGAAAATTTACTC